TTCCTGGCAAATAGAGGGAGAAGAAATTGAAGCAATGTCAGAGTTCATATTCTTGAGCTCAAAGATCACTGTAGCCATTGATTGCAGCCATGAAATTAAAAGATACTTGTTCCTTGGAAGGAAAGCTATGGAAAAGTATGCATAGCTTCCTAAAAAGCAGAGATATCACCTTGCCAACAAAGGTCCATATAGTCAAAGTTATGGTTTTTCCAGTAGTAATGTTTCGCTGTGAGAGTTGGAGCATATATGAGGAAAGTTGAACATCTCAGAATCAATACTTTCAAATTGTGGTGCTGCAGAAGACTTTTGAGAGATCTAAGACAACACAGGGATCAAGTCAGTCAATATTTAAAGAAATTAATTCAGATCAGAAGGGCAAATACTGAAGCTGAAACTTATATACTTTGGCCACATAATGAGAAGATGGGACTCATTGGAAAAAGCCCCTGACTTTTGGAAAGATTGAAGGCAAAAGGAGAGGGGATTAGCAGAGGATGAGATGGATAGATAATATCACAGAAGCAATAAACATGAGCTTGGACAGTCTTCAAGAGATAGGAGAGGATAAAAGGGCCTGGTGTGCTATGATCCATGGGGTCAGGAAGAATTTGACATGATTGAACAAATGAACAAAAAGCTACTTGAGAGACAAAGCATTCTTTAAACCTCTTCCTCCCTGTAGCTATCTATACCCTTCTTTACGGGAATCTATTCAATCTCCATGATTCCCTAATGCTTTTGTACCTTGTTGCTATTTTGCCACCAACTCTCTCTCTTTCCATGATCCTCCACTCCACTGTTGGTTTCCTTTGTTCCTTCTATGAGTTGTATGAGGCAGTTTTTGCCTATCACTATTAGAAGTCAACCTTCACTGCGTTTTTCCATTTACCTCCATTGCACATAATGCCAGCCTTTCAGCTGCTGGATTGTGGAAGGGTTATACTGGATTCTCAGCTGGCAGTTACTTCTTTTTTGCCTTGGGGAAATCAAGTGCCTCTGGCTTACTTAAATTTCTGCTATTTTATACCTGGGTTCCATAGTCCTCATATCCCACAATTCCAGCAGAGTCCTGTCAAGTGGCAGTGGGAATGAATGCCTTACTCTTGGAACACTCAACCTTCCTTAAGTAATCTAGTATCCTGGGAGCTTACCTTATTGGCGATAGAACTTATTCAGAACTCTTGAGTTTAACGATCTACTTGCCTTAGTCTTCCCCAGTGGCAGGGATTATAGGCATGGTCTACTGCAGCAAGGCTAGTCAGAATTTGGGCACAGGATCATAGCTCCAGAGCTAAAAGGGACCTCAGAAGCCATCTAGCTTCACCCCTCATTGCACAGGTGAGGAAACTAAGACTTAGGTCACACAAGTAGTAAAACATTAGAAGTGGATTTTGAACTTAGGTCTTTTGACTCCAAAGACAGTGCTAAAATTACATTCAAGAATTTATTGGCTTAAATGAAGTCTCCAGTTTGATAACACCTACTATATATGTGTAGAGCACTATGCAATAAATGAATAAAACAGAATCACACATACATATTGTAAGGCATTTAAAATCTAGTAGGCAGTTTGGTTTGGGGGAAGGAGTATTAGATGTAGTCAGGTGATCTGGATTCTAGTTAAGGTGCTGATAAAGCTTGTGACTGTGGGCAATCATGCTGAACTTTCATCAAATCATAGATTGAGCTCTGGAAGGGATTGTATAGGCCTTCCTGAACAACCTCATTTTACGAAAGAGGAAAGTAAAACTCACTGAAGTTAAGGGATTTGTTTACAGTCATGCATGTAATACATAGCAGAGGTAGGATTTGAAACCAGGTCCTCCAACTCTAAACCCTTTGCTTTTAAAGTATACCATTTTGCCTCCTGCTTCTACAGTTTTGTGCACTGTTTCTTATTCCTATAATATCCTTTGACCTCTTCATCTGTTGAATTCCTGATCATTTTTTTATAGCTCAATTCACCTTCTTCATGAAATATTCCCTGATTTCTCTCTCTCCTCTCTGCTCCCCAGTCAATCCTTCTTCCCCTGCCCCTACCCCATTTTTATAGCACTTTTGTGTTATACCTTTCAAATGCACTTATGTATTATTTTGTATTAGTTCTCCTTGTACATATTATGTCTCTACTGGACTGTAAGTTCCACACAGGCAGATGGTCCTGTCTTGAATAAATTTTCTATCTTCCTCCAGTGCCTAGATAAGAGCTTGAATTAGGGTGGTAGCAGTAGGAGAATATGATCTGAAAGAAACTATGAAGACAGAAGAGACAAGGCTTGGCAGTGAATTGAAAAGGAAGGAAAGTAGAAAGTCAGAGATGACTCTCAATGTTTCTAGCTGGAGGACTGGGAAGATTGTGGTACTATTAATAGAAATAGAGATGTCCAAAGAAGAACTGGGTTTTACGGGGAAGATGTGCTTTCCGTTTTGGATATCTTTTCTGCAATCTAAAAAGAACATTTTTCATTTTAGGGTTAGAAACTGGACTTATAGTTTCTTTGACCTAGGCAATTCTCAGGTGACAAAACTCACTATACCAATGCAGGTCAGTACTTTCTTTGCACCTTAGAGGCTTAGAGAGTTGCATAGTACAGTAAGAGTTAAATGACTTAGCCTAAATCAAACAACCAATACGTATTATAGGTGGGATTTGAATGCTGGTCTTCCTGGCTTCAAGGTCAGTTCGCTATTCACCAGGCTACAAGGCTCCTCTTTTTTCATTTGATTCATATTCACTGAACATATGCTGCTCTCCTGCCTCTATTTCTTTGTACTGTCTCATGTGCCTAGAATGCACTCCTTCTCTACTTCTACCTTAGAGTCTCTTCCTTTAAGATGCAGTTTAAATATCATCTTCTAAGCCTTTCCTGATGACACTGCTACTGTCCTCCCTCTCAAACTCTATGTATTTTGCATATATTTATATTTATTAGCTTTTCTGTTGCTATTGCCGTTTGTCCTTTCTCGAAGAGGATCATGACACCAAGAAGATGATGTCATGACTATTTATTGAGTGTACATATGCATATGTAAAAATAAGCACACATATTCGTTGCCACAGAACGTAAACTTTTTGCAGATAGGGATTTTTTTCAGACTCTGTACTTGTATCCTCAGCAAGTAGGACATAGTTAAGTGCTTAATAATAAATACCTGCTGAGTGATTGATTGTGCTGACAATTGAGACAGCTGAGCCAAAGCTTTGGTTTGAAATTGTTAACACTAAAAAAAAGCTCCATTATATTATGCTGAATTCATTTGTCACTTTCAAATACGTACCTTAAATACAAGTAAAAAGCACAAAATCAATAGTGAGTGAATGTGCCAGTCTTATTTTTCATATGGAACATGAATATTTGCAGGAGTGTCAGGGAAAGTAATCTGTGTAAGTATAAATGTGCTAGCAAAGACATAGTTCTGAAATTTTTTGCTAAAAATTTCCCTGGTTTGGAATTAGGTGCCAGTTATTGTATGTCTTCCTGTAGTCTCATAGTCTACAGTGTGTCAATTTAATGATGACTCATGGGGTACAGCAAGACAATAATTCTGCTGTTTCTTTCAAATTACCCAGAATTCATGTAGACTCATTTTCCTTCTGTCCCAAGCTGAGGTAGACAATGGTAGGATGGCTCTCAGCCCATTTTGAAACTTTTTGATAGGTTAACATGACCAAATAAAAAATAGAGGCTGATGATGCAAATACCCTTACTGGCAGACAATGCAAAACATATTCAGGAAATAATATTAGGATGAACACTGCTTTGTGTAGACTTCTACTATAGACTGCAAGTCAGAGATCTGGATAAGTATTCCTAAGGGTGTAGCAGAATGAGTGAAAAAGGAAGAGAGAATTTTCTAATACTCCACTCTTCTTTCTAAAGATATCATTTAGTTTCATTTTAAATAGAATCTCTTCTAAAAGACCCCTAATATTTCCAACTCTCCTACTTGAATATTTCCAATTCTCCTACTTGAATTAATTAACAATCATTTAATAAATGCTTACTAGGCACTAGGCTGTGCTGTAGATGCTAGAGAAACAGAACAAAACAGTCTACTGGAAGAGCTTACATTTTATTGGTGAAACTATATATACACATACTTATACATAAATATATATGCATATATACAATATACATGTCTATACACACATATATACAAATATAGTTTATATATACACAAACTCTGGTTGTAAAATATATTATGGGGTCTGTACCTATGTGTATGTATATGTATATATGTGCAATTGCATATATATCACACACATATAGTTAATATGTAGAAACCTAGTTTTGTGTATATCTACATACATGTGTATATAATATGTACACATGCATAGCTATAGATATATGCCTATATCTATAGGTATATGTTTTTACATACACACACACACACACACACACACACATACAGCTTTTTTTTTTTACCAGATCTGACATTTCATTTAGGTTTATTGAATTGATAAGGAAACTTCTTTCACCAATTCACATACAAAGTAAATCTAAGGTAAATACCAGCTATTTGTAGAGAAGGCATTAGCAGCTGAGTTTTGAAGGAAACTAGAATTCTGAGGAAGGGAGTGCTTTTCAGGCATGGAAAGCAAGACTCTGCAAAGGCACACATGAGCAAGTAGTATCCTCTATCTACGCTTTTCTTCCACTATCATACTAGGGTAGTAATTGGAATTTTATGCATGGAAATTCTCTTCTCATCACCCCTTAAACTTTTCCCCATTTCCCCCCTTGAGTTGTAAAAATACTTGTTTATTCATTCCTTTCCTATGCCCTACCATCTAATCATGTTTGCTCCAAAATCTTAGCAAAGAAATATTGTGATACCTTCTGACCAGAAGAAGGTAGACGAAGACTCATTTTTCAGCCTCTGGAATTGTAAAAGGGGAAGAAGAGGTGAATGAGGATCTCAAACCAAAGGTGTTTTTTTTGTTGTTGTTTTTCGTCTGGTTGAAATACAGCGGAACACCCACCAGAGGGAGATGCTCGCTATACCGCGTGGAAAGACTCTGAGGGATGAGGGCTGCGGTGGGGAGGAGCAGCATCGGGTCTTGGATGGGCTCGGCGGGCGCGGGACAGCAGGGGAGAATCAGAGCCAGGGTGCTGTTGGAGAGGGGCTAGGTGGAGGGATAAAGAAGATCTAGGTGCCTGGATATGTAGGCGAGAGCGCGCGCGCATGTGATCCAGTCCTCGTGCGGGTTCGCAGCTAAGGGGAAGAAAGTGAGGGGCAGTCATTGTGAGGAAAAGAAGGGAGTCTGTATGTAGGGGGGGGGGTCCCTTCCCTGAACTACTCAGAGAGGAAGGGGTGGGGGTGAGGTTTTCCGAGGTACTTCCGCTTAGCAACCCCACGCGGTTGCTAGGGAAGGCTGGCGCGGTATTCACCCGGAAGCAGTTCTGCGCAACTCTCCTCGCCTTCTCTCGGCTTGTCCTATCGGAGGTTAAGGGCCCTGGGCTGGCTTCAGGCCGAGGGCGGGGCCAGCTCTAGTAGTTCCGGTTCGCCTCCTGCCGCCCCTCTGCTCCCCGCCTCCCCCCTCCCCCCCTCCCCTCCCGCACCCCTCCCCCCTCCCGCTCCAGGGAAAGAGAGAAGGAGCCGCGGCCGGTGGAGAGAGGAGCCACTCAGCGCCAGCGGGAGGGGACCGCGCCTGCCGCACCTGGGGTCACAAGCACGGCCAGATCCAGGTACCCACTGCGGCTCCCGCGGGGCCCGAGGGTCTGGCGAGCGGAGCGGACATCCCCAGGGTCGGGCCGGGGGCGGCGGGGCTCCTGGGGCGGGCGGGGTAAGAGGCCGGTCCGGCGGGAGGGTTGAGTTGGCGCGGGGGCGCTGGGCACGGCCGGGGGTCGGGGCGGGGGCTGGAGGCCTCCTTCGGTGAGGGGGAGGGTAGTCATCCGGAGGCCCGGGGCTCTGAGCTGAGCGGCCTTTCTCTCCTTGGCCCAGGCTTGTCACCTGGACGGCTTCTCCACGGGAAGCATCCTTCCCCGGGGCCGGAACGGGGCTCGGGGACCCTGGCGGCACTGTCACCTGGGCCGGGCTGCCGCTGCCGGCGGAGATCGGGCTCCCTCCGGGGTGGGCGGGGGAGGTCGCCAGGGGTGGGCTTTGGAGAGGGCTCTGCGCGGTGGGGCCAGGCGGGGAGCCGCCCTTGGGCACCGCCGACGGGGAAAAGCCGTCCTCCCTTCTCCAGCCCCCACCCCGCCCCGGGCACGGCGTCCGGGACCCCATCCCGGGACTCTCGAGTGGGCACCCCAGGGCAGGGGCGTGTGGGGCCCGGGGAGGTTGTTCCTGGATGATTTTTCCAGTGTTTAGAAACTGTTGCCAATTAAAGTGATTGTCTCAGAGGCACATTCTGCCCTGGCTCTAATAGCTCCCTGGCTGGCTTCCAGCCCTCTGAACCTGGTTGTCCTTTGATCCGCCTTAAGTTATTTTAGGGAAATGCAATTCAGGAAAGCTCCAAAGTACCAGGTTTCGAGGCTTAAATTCATTAAGCTTACAATGAAATGATATTCATGTGTATGTATGAAGAAGGAAAGAGGTGGTATTGGTGGTGGTGGTGCTGGTGGTGGTGGTGGAGGAGAAGGAGGAGGGTTGGGGGGCTTGCAAGATATAAAGGTCTAGGCCAGACTAGTTCAGGCAAGCCTTTACGAACCGTTTCTCTTGCCAGGAAACCTGCCTGCCCTAGTTTAGATGGAGCAGGAAGATCCTCGTCATTTGTGTTCTAATCAGTGACTGAACAGCTAGGTACTATGGTGATAGGTGTCTCAGAATAGATGAGATGTGAGAATTCACAACTCTTAGGACTTTGTGCTACTGAATCTTTTTAATCTTTTAAGAGTGTATGATAGAAACGACCTCATTATCAGCGATACAGTTGAGTGATGGAGAGGACTTGGAGATACAGTTGAGAGATGGAGGGGACTTGGAGGCTAGTTAATAAGAGGAATACTGGATTAAAATAATGTTCCAAAGAATGTGTGTACATCATGGTGAGTGACTACCAGATTTTGACCATTCATTTTAAATAACACAGATTTGAATTGTTAGTGGCTCCATAAAGGTTCTTATCAATGAGGTAAAGTGTATGCATTTGCATAAAGGATAGAATAGTATTTTTTTCTGAGATTTTTGCTATGTGCATTTATAATGGGAACAATTAAGCTAGAAGTCATATATATTGCATAAATCTTGGAATTTAAAATTGTATTGGTGAAGATTATATATTTTTAAGCCCCAGATTTTCAAAATTGCCTCAAATTTAATTACTAAAGTACTTCTATTAGTACTAGGATTTTACTTGTAAAAGTTGATCACACTCTTAGCAAACTTGCTTTGAGTTTTTGCAGATGTATCACTAAAAACAAAATGAAATGGACAGTTGCTATTTTTAACTTATTTATTTTATTAGCATGCTGAAATAAATACTGTTTTTTATGTTTGCTTTTGCATTTTAAATGAATTTATTCTCAGCAACTTACTAAAGAGTAGGGCTTTTCAGTCAAAGTAATAGGCAGGCTCTTGGACATAATTGGTAGTGATTTTGTAACTCTCAGACAATTTGTTCTGCTTACAGAGATTAAATGAATCATCAAATGACTTGATTGACAGCCTATAAGAAAGTTGATTTCTGTTTTTGTATTGTATGTAGAATTGTTTGAAGACTTGTTATCTGTTGTGTTTTGAGAAAACCACAAGAAAATCTCAATCTCATTTCTCCAATATTCTTTAGCTATCATTTGAAGGGACTAGCCCACATTTAAAAGAGCATTTTAAGGTTGTTTTTTTTTATATCTGAAGATTTAAAAGGAGTTTGAAGGATACTTTGCTGTCTAGGTGATATGTTTAGTGTCCTAAATAAAGGAAGTGCATATAAACACAGTTCCTGAACCAATTACTTGGCTCTACTGTTGTGCAAATCAGATGTATTATGTAAATGATATAACAGTAGCATAATTACATACCAAAGTAAATTATTTCCATCACTGTTGTAAGTGTATGTTAAGGCCTTTTCTGTATGGTCTTTTGAAAGTGGCTTTCCTTTTTTAACCTTTTAAAGTTACTGTTGTCTTGCACCAGAATTTCTCCTAAAGTATACATTCAGAAAAAAACACATTAAGATTTTTTTATCTTTCCGAAGCCTTATGATAGTGCTTTGATAAGCATTTTGGAAGTTGAGGTCACCTTTTTTCTTGTTATATTCTTATCTCATGACTTTAATGTTGTTTGTATAGGCAGAATGATAATAGATGTTAGAGTAAATAGTTATGCTACATAAAATTGTTTACAGTCATTAGAGAAGGGTAGGATTTTTGTATTTTGGTTTTTTTTTTTGTAAACTCTTCTCTTTCACCAAAAAATATCTTAGTATTCATTGACCATTCTGAGGATGTTTCATTGTCAAATGCAGAAATTGAATATGTGACATTTAATGGTGTTCCCAAAAGTAAAGAATTCCTGTTTCAACACTGAGTTAACCAGATGACCTCTAATGTACATTCCAACTTTTAGATTCTATGAAAAGAAATTATAAAAATCTTAGAGGGTGCATTTTATTTACTTTTTGAAACATTTTGTTGTTATACTATAAACACTTTCCAATAACCTCCCTTACTTTTCCTCCCCCCCAAAAAAACCCCTAATCCCAAACAAACAAAACATACCTAAAACCTCTGTTAAACCAAACCATCCTAAACAGCTGGGACATAAGAGACTGATGGAGTATGTAACTTTAAGTACCTGTAGTCCACCAGCTCTTTGTAGACAGGAAGGAAGTAGGTTCTTATATCAGTCATCTGAAACCAACATTGGTTGCTGCATTTAATCTGAATTCTGTTGTACTTTAGTGTTGTCTTCATTTACAGTATTGTAGTTAGTTGTCGTCTAGTGACATTTTGCCCTGACTAACTTCATACATTTCCCAGATTTATTCATATTTGTCATTCTCTATAGCACAATGATATTTCATTAACTTCATATACCATAATTTATTCAGCTGTTTGCTGGTCATTAAGCACTTTGTTTCCAGATTTTTGCTACTTCATTAAGCACTGCCATGAATATTTTGTTACATATTGGATCTTACTTTCTGCCCTCAATCTTTACAAGATATATTTTAATATAAGAAAGAAATAGATGAATGTCTAATACAAAAATGTGCAGTCATAATTTGGGTACTTCCAGTAGTATTGGTAATTGGTGGAGAAATGTTTGAAATTTCCTGGGTGTTTTTTTTTTGGGGGGGGCTTTTTTTCTTTTGATCTTGCCTCTCTTTTTAAGGATGTTGTTTTTGTGAAGCAAAGATTTCTTCTCCAGTTAAGAATATAATCATTATACTGAGACATGAAGTTTATGTCATAAATTTTAGAATCCCCGATCTTGTAAAAAAAAAATCTTTGATGATCTTAAATGTGAGAAAGTCAGTTTTCTTAAAAGAAATTTTGAAATTGTAGAATATGGTAGGAAAAAAAAAAGACCAAACTTCTGTCTGCTGATTTCTGCCTAATGTGAGATTCTTTTTTTTTTTTTTTTTGGCAATTGGGGTTAAGTGACTTGCCCAGGGTCACACAGTTAGTAAGTGTCAGGTGTTTGGTCTGAGGCCTGATTTGAGCTCAGGTCCTCCAGACTTAAGGGCCGGTGCTCTATTCACTGTGCCACCTAGCTTCCCCCTCATGTGATGTTCTTGAGAAATTCAGGGTGGGAAATGAATGTTTCAGCTATACCATTTTACAGTTTGCATATTATTTCTTAGAAAACTAAATTGAGTTTTGACATTATTGGGATTGTGTTCAAGCTGGTCTCAGGGAAAAAATGAGATGCCATCTGTTTCAGAGCTTGCCCCTTCCCCGTCCCCGTCCCCCCAATCTGCTTGGTTTTTGGCTTTGAATTTACCACTTTATTTATGTTTGAAATGTGAAATTCCAAATAAAATATTATGCAATGTAAGCTGTATCAGGTGACACAAGTAATGCATTTTTAAAATGAGTTGATCAATATCTTTCATTTCCAAAAAGGATAGAAGACCTCAGTTAAAAGTTATTGTTCTTTTAAACTATTTGAACATTAGGCCTCTTTCCTATTTAATTCTCTGTGTTTACTTAATAAACCATTATTTTCAGGAGTACTTGGCCCATTATACTTGTTGGTAGGGCTGTCTGAGAAACTTGATGTAGAAGTTATAAATATTACACAATTTAAACTGTTATTGTAAATCTGAGATGAAACTTAAGCAGATAATTATTAATGTAATTGTAGCCCAAAACATTAAAAGAATCAGTATTGATGTGTTGACCAGTAAATATTCTTGCTACTGATAATCTGTCTTGGTTATATGCATGTATTAAATAAAGCATTCTTAGTGCAGTTTTTGCTTTCTTCAGTGGGGGTACCAGTATGGAAAGTCCTTAAAAACTGTCAACCGTAGGGGGCAGGTGGGTAGAGCACTGGCCCTGAAGTCAGGGGGACCTGAGTTCAAATCCTGCCTCAGACCAAACACTTGACACTTAATAGCTGTCTGACCCTGGGCAAGTCACTTAATCCCAATTGCCTAAAAAAAAAATTATCAACCTTAGAAACAGATTGTTAAGTTTCAGAGCTCTCTAGGAAAGACAATCACTGAATCATAAGTTGTGTATTTTTTTCTATCCTCCCAATCTTCTTTTCTTTTTGTTTTTTGTTTTTTTGTTTTTTTAGTGAGGCAGTCAGGATTAAGTGACTTGCCCAGGATCACTGAGCTAGTAGGTATCAAGTGTCTGAGGTGGAATTTGAACTCAGGTCCTCCTGACTCCAAGGCTGGAGCTCTATCCGCTGCGCTACCTGGCTGCCCTTCCCACTATCTTCTTTTATTTTATTATTTTTTTCATAAGTCATTATTATTTAAGTTGAAGAGCTGGTTATGAAGGGGGTGGGGGGCACACTCATAACAGAGTCCAAGGTGGAGCCCTAGGGGAGAGGGAAGGAGTGAGGAGACAGGGAGTCAGGGAGACTAGAGCCTCTCTTCTGTGTCTGCTCTAGTCGGGATTGATCCTGATTTCTGAGCCTTGGTCCAGGGCACACAGTGAAGCACATGATAAGATGAGGGTCCAGGGGCTACAGGTTTAGAAAACATCAAGGGGTGGCCAGAGGTGAGGGCTGAGATTCTCTTTCCTTCCATCAGCAGCACCGCTTCCTTTTAGGACTTGAAGCATAGTGCTAAGTTCCATCCCACTTATTTCAGGTCTTATGAAACATTC